AAAACAACCAAAGTCCATCATTGCATGAATGGATAAAGAAGAGGTGATACACACACACACACACACACACACACACACACACACACACACACACACAGAGGAATATTATTGAGCCATGAAAAAAAAGGAATCCTGCCATTTGTAACAACTTGAATGAAACTTGGGACATTTAATACATAAAATAATCAGACAGAAAAAACAAATATTGTATTACAATATATCACTTCCATGAAAAATCTAAAAATCTGAACTCATGGAAACAGAGAGTAGAGTGGTGATTACCAGGGAATGGCGGTCGGGGGAAAAGGGGAGATATAGAGCAAAGCGTACAATGTTTTAGTTATAAGGTGAATAGATTCTAGGGATCTAATATACAGCATAATGATTATAACTAATAATGCTGCGTTATATACTTGAAAGTTGCTAAGGGAGTAGATCTTAAATGTTCTCACCATAAAAAAATAATAATAATGTAATGTGATGGAGGTATTATTGGGTTGTCAGAAAAGTCATGATGTATTTTTTCTATGTTTTTTGTTGCAAAAATGCGTCATGACTTCTCCTACAACCCAATAGATAACACTATGTTAATAATCATTTGAAATATATAAGCGTATCAAATCAACATGTTATACACCTTAAACGTACACAATGTTATATGTCAATTATATCTTAATAAAGATGAAAAACTTAATATATATTAAATATATATCATATAAAACACATATGCATTTTTCCAGCTTTATTAAGATACAATTGAAACATATTAATTGTATCTTAATAAAGCTGGAAAATATATATTACACACCTGGGTATTTTCCAGCTTTATTATTGTATATTAATTATAATTAATTAATATAATAACATGTATTATATATTGTATAATTAATTAATAATCAATATACCAGAGAGAGATGCTATAGGAGGACATGGAAAGAATGGGGGCACACAGTCAGTATCTTAGAACTCAGAGGATACACCTGGGTATACTGGATGTCTTGGCCAGTTAATATAGACCAGACTCAGCCTTAAGTCACACCAATGTTTTCACAATGGGTCCATGAATAGAATAGCCATGATGACAGAGATGTAGGCTATGCCTAGGCTCATCAGCATGAGCTCACAGCCACCAAAGCTGATGTACCTACTGCTTTGCTGAATGTACAACCTAGCAGCAGCACAGACCAAAGCTGAGTCCTTGATACAGCACCAGTCCTCACAGTGTGAATCAGCCACTCGATGCAAGTTTAGTACATCAGACCCATTCCTCCTAGGAAAGGGAGTGACTCATCTTGACTGAGATAGACACATATTCTGGGAGCATGCTTTGGCTTTTCTGTCTGCCATGCCTCATCCAACACCACTGTGTGATGGCTCAAAGAGTGTCTGATGTATTGACATGGGATTCCATTTACTATAACTTCAGGCCAACTGACAAATTTTACAACAGAAGAGGTGGAATAACAGGTCCATAATCATGAGATCCCGTAGTTATACCCTGTATATATCACCCAGAATTGGTCAATCTGACCCAGTGTGGATTGGCCTGCTGAAGGAGCATATAAACTGCCAGTTTGGAGATGACACCCTGCAAAGATGGAGAGTTTACCTTCTGGTTGGGAAATATATTTTTGAACACAAAGTCATTGTATGCTTCAATGTCTCCCATAGACAGAATACATGAGTCCAGAACCAAGGAATTATAAATAGCCACACTCCACATCACCTGCCCAGGAATTTGCACTTTCTGTCACTGGAATGTTAGGTTCTACGCATTAAGAAGTTCTAGATTCCAGAAGTGGGTGCTTACACCAAAGAGATCCAAAACACATATATTGAACACTCCACTCAACAACAACAGAATGCATATTCTTCACAACTACAAAAAAATGTAGTATGGCATCAGGATAGACATATAGATCAATGGAATAGAACTGAGAGGTCAGAAATAAACCCATACACCTATGGCCAATTGATTTTCAAAAAGGATGCCAAGGGCCGGCCGAGTGGCGCGATGGTTAAGAACTGGCTTGGGATGCCAGAGGGCCCCGGTTTGGATCCGACATATGAGGGCCAATGACACTGCCCTCTACAGCTAAGATGCTGAACAACAACTCGACCTGGAGCTGGGTTGCCGTGAGTCGCCGGAGGCGGTGTAGGCTGCAGCCCCTGTGGCAGTGGGTTGCTATGGGCTACCGTGTGTAGCCAGCAGCCAGCGTAAGCTGCAGTGAGCAGCCGTCCAGAAGCCAGCGACTGATCTGCCTCGCCCGGGAAGAGTGCAATGATGGTGCCAACTTGGGCCAGTGAAACGACGTCCTCCACAACTAGACTGAAGAACAAAACGACAGCAACTTGTCTGTTCCCCTTCCCCCAATTCCCCAACACTGTTCCCATCCCCCCAATTCCCCAATCAAAATCTTAAAAAAAAAAAAGGATGCCAAGCCCAAGAATAATCACTTCAACAAATTGTCCTGGGACACTGAATATTCACATACAAATGAAAGAAATTAGACCTCTATCTCTCGCCATATTCAAAAACTAATCTACAGTTTAAATGTGAGCTATAAAATTCTTAAAAGAAAATATAGAGGTAAGTCATCATGACTTTGGATTAGGTAATGGATTCTTAGACATGACACGAAAACACAGCAACAAGGGGAAAAATAGATAAATTGAACCTCAACAAATTTAGAAAACATGTGTGCATCAAATGACTTTATTTAAAAAGTGAAAAAAAATTTTACAAAGTGGGAGAAAATATTTGAAAATCATATGTTTGAAAACAGTCTAATATCCAGAATGCAATTCAAGATGAAAAACACAAACAACCCAATTACAAAATTGCAAAGGACTTGAATAGACATTTCTCCAAAGGATATATGAAAATGGTCAGTCATTACATGAGATGCTCAACATCCTTAGTTATTAAGGAAAAATGCAAATCAAAACCACAATTTGATATTAACCACTTCACACTCACATGGATGGCTATAATCTAAAAAAAGGAAAATAATAAGTGTTGACAAGGATATGGAGAAATTAGAGCCCTCATGCATTAGCAATAAAAATGTTAAATGGTTCAACCATGGTGAAAATAGTTCGCTGTTTCCTCAAAAAGTTAAACATATAGAGTTAAACATATGATCCATCAATTCCACTCTTAGGTATGTACTCAAAATTGAAAATAGGTACTAAAAAAAACCCAAACTTGTATACAAATGTTCATACCGCACTATTTGCAATCACCAAAGGATGTAAACAACCCAAATGACCATCAACAGATGAATTTAGGATAAGCTAATTGTGTTATACACAAACAAGAGAATACTATTCAGATATAAAAATGAATGAAGTACTGATACATACTACAACATGAATGAACAACAATTACAGAGATAACACAGATAACAGAGATAACACTTATCATTTTGGAAAAAATTCAAAAGCATGGCAACACATTCTGGTATGGGAAACACATGCTCCCATGGACAGTGGCAGTACCAAATGGTACAACCTTTATAGAGTAGAATTTGGAACTCTCTAGCACAACTATATATGAATTTACCCTGTTAACCAACAACTACACTTTTAGAAATTTACCCTGATGTTACACCTCCAACAGTACAGAAAATATGCACATGATTGTTCACTGCAGTGTATTTGGAACAGCAAAATCTTGGAAAACACATAAATGCCCATATATAGGAGATTGGCTGTATGACTAAGTGTGTACACGTGGTATAGAATGCAGCTATAAGAAAAGGGAAATGAGGATATATTCTTAAATGAAAACAACATGGTGCAAATGAGCATATTTGTGCAAGAAAAAAAGGGGAATTAAGGTTTCAAGTAACTAATTATCTTCATCTTACCAAAACTTTCCAAAGAATTGAAAAGGACGGGCTGCTACTCAGCACACTCTATAAGATCAGTGTAAACTTGCTACAAAAACAAGCAAGGACGTGTGAGAAAGGAAGGTTACAGGCCCAGTTCCCTCGTGAACATAGATATAAAATTCCTTAAAAATAGCAAACTGAACCAAATGATATAAAAATTATAGTACACCATGATCACATTAGTTTACTGGAGAAATGCAAGAATGGTTTAATGTTAGAAAGTCTGAAATGTTCGATGCATTAACAGATTAAAGGAGAAAAATAATGCTACCATCTCAACATGTGTAGAAAACGTTAGATAGAATTTCACATAAATTAATGAAAATTTTCTTGATATGTCAGAAATGAAACAGAACTTTCTAAACCTTTCTAAAAGATGTGTATGAGAAACCTAAGGCAGACACTATCTTAAAAGGAGGAACTTAAGAAGTTTTCATTTTAAATCAGGTATCAGACAAGGCTATACACTATCACCACTTCTATACAATCATGTATGGAGGTCCTGGCCTGCACAACGAGGCATTAAAAGTAGCATTAAGTTTGAAGAGGAAAAACACAAATTATTATTTGCAGATGGTGATAGACTACACAGAACACCGAAAAGCACACACCAAGATACTGTAATAAACAATGGGAGAATTTAGCAAGGTAACTAGTTACAGATCAACACACAAAAGTTACCTCTCTACACTAAAAAACAAATGAAAAGAAATAACTAAAGGGTTACGATATTATTTGCAATGTCACTTAAAAATTCAAGCCTCTAGGAATAAATACGACAAAGACATGCCAGAACTCCACGTGGGAAAAACTATAAAATTTTTGTGAAAGAACATTAACAAGACCGAGATGGATGAGAGCTATAACAAGGTCACGATAAGAGGGATGAGAGGGGTGTAGATTTGAAAGCGCCACCTGGCCCTGGAGTGGGCGTGGTTGGGAGGTGCTTGGGTTTCTACCAAGCCCTCCAGATTGGAACACACAGTGAAAAGCCAGTCACAGCATGCCTTGCTTTTCCTTCCTTCCTGCTCTTCTCCCCTAAGCTGTGCCTGGTCAAGCCCAGCAGTCTTCAGCCAGGACTTCACCACCAATCCCACCAGCAGCATGAAAACTGTGCTGCTTCTCCAGTGCCTGCTGTTGACTTGCCTCACACCACAGCTGGTGCCTGGAAGTCCCAAGGAATATTTTATGAGTAGGTGCTGGGTCTGGGCCCCAGGGAGGGAAGAAGCATCTACAGAGATGAGAGATGAGAGGAACCAAGGGCTGAGAGCCTGGGCACACCTCATGAATAAAATACAGTATCATGGTCAAATGTCCAAGTTTTATTGTCAGCAAGATCTAGGTGTGAATCCCTGCTCTGTTGCTTACTGATTGATCTTGGGCAAAGTGTCTGGGTCTCAGATTTTATCTTTGTAATGGATATAATGATATTGAGACAGCTGGGAGGAGAAACTGAGATGATAATGCATGCAGACATAGGGCACTTTTTCCGGACCATGGAAAATGCTTGATAAGTATTAACCCCTATAAATGTCATCACCCAGCTGATTCTTGCTGCCGTGGTTCCCTTATGGACACTTGGGCCAACTTTTCAAGCATCAAAACAGAGAGCAAAATTACATTGGTAGAACTCAAGCTGGCACCTACATGATCTCGGCCTTGATTGATGTTTTGGGAGGGAAGGAAAGAAAGTCTTGCATTTTATTTCATATTTTAAAAACTCAGAGGTACCCGCGCAATTACCAGTGACTAGCACCAATGGGAGGGCGTAGTCCATCTCAGCAGCCACCATTACCTGGCTCAACCTAACAAGAGCGCTGGCTACAGTGATGTTGACCTTGACCAATACCAAATGAGAATTGAACTATTATTCATCATGCCAGCACTTTTCTGTAGAGAGAGCATCTTCAGAATATAGGGGGCTCAGGGCCGACTAAGTGTTGTATTGGTTAAGAACTGGCTTGGGATGCCAGAGGGCCCCGGTTCAGATCCCACATATGAGGGCCAGTGACAGTGACACTGCCCTCTACAGCTAAGATGCTGAACAACAGCTCATCCTGGAGCTGGGCTGCCATGAGTCACCGGTGATGGCATAGGCTGCAGCCCCTGCTGCAGTGGGTTGCCATAAGCTACCGTGTATAGCTGGCAGCCAGCGTGAGCGGCCAGCAGCCACTGTGAGCAGCTGTCCAGAGGCCGGCGACTGATCTGCCTCACCCGGGAAGAGCGCAATGATGGTGCCAGCTTGGGCCAGTAAAGCAACATCCTCCACAACTAGACTGAAGAACAAAAAGACAGCAACTTGTCTGTTCCCCTCCCCCAATTCCCCAATAAAATCTTTTAAAAAAAAAGAATATAAGGGGCTCAGAGCAGGGATATGTGTGGTATCTCATGTGTCAAGGTAGGCAGGATCTTGTTTTAGGGGGTCTCAGAGGAGGCATGCAGATTTGTAAGACTGAGGGAGGCTGAGCAAGCTACAAGAGAATCGGGGTATCCAGGGTAGAGTTAATTGGAGAATCAAGGACTGAAACTTGAGGAGAGGCACAAAGAGGCTTTTGGAAAGACAGGTAAGTGCTATGAGTGATATTGGGACCAGATAGCCAGAAGAGGAGTCAAAACGTGAGAAGGTCAACCTTTCTGAGATCCCTGGCTCATGGACCCCTTCCCCACACTGTTCCATTGAACCTAAGCTCTCTAAAGTGGGGACGAATTTCAATTTCTTTCACTGACCCAGTGGCTGGTCTCTGCCAGATTGTCAAGAGCTTGGGACTTGGTTTCTCTCACCCTGTCTTTGGGGCGATTTGCTGTTACAATTATAGCCCTAACTTCATTCATTTATTCTCTTCAGGTCAGCATGATATCCTACAGACCCCCTTCTAATTGCAAATACCTGCAGAGCACTTAAATCAATAAGGGCTTATGGAATGTCCACTTATGACATTTGCCCCAAAGAAAGGGCAAGTCACACGGTACAAAATATAAGGTCAGGCTGGGCTTGGATAAAGGGGTTAATGGGACCCATCCTAATGCCTTAGAATTGTGATTTGGAGGCCCGGGGCAGGATCTCCTGGTAGAGATGGTCTTGGCTTTGACCTGAGTACTAGGGAGTTGGGAGCAATGGCATGTCAGCGTGAAGATGTATCTTCTTCTCTAACAGTAGAAAGTGGGAGCACCCTGGGGCTCTAGCCTCCTGATCAGTAGAGATCTGGGAAGAAGGAGAAGCTCATCTTTGAGCCCAGAAGCTGACCCCAATCTGAAATACTTACTCTTCTCCCAATGAAAGAAGTCACCCCCAGAACTCATTTGTGATTTGAGTTCTAGCATTCTGATGCCAGTAGTACCTTTAGTATACTGTGTGGTCTTCATCCTTTCCCAAAATCTTCCCTAAACACAGATAACACATGTTAGACCCTATGGTAAACTGTATTGTTATGAGAGACTTTACGACTTGCTTGAAACTACATAATGAGTCAGTGCAAATGAACCTACACAACCCTCTCTTGCTCACCACGTACACCACTCATTCTCTTAAACAGGACACACCTAGGTCCTATGGGGACTTAGCATCTATCTGATCTGCAAAGATGGTGAATTACCAACGGATGCAGGGTGCTAATGAACTCTGTCTTTGATTAAACATCCAAGCTCTGGTTTTCCCTGCTTAGAATTCAGTGCAAGACAGCAGTTAAAGACAAAATCTTATTCCATCTCCCTGTGGTCACACGAGGGAGGTCAGGGTGGCCGGTTTCCTGGCAGTTCCTTGGGTCTTTGGAGTTCTTTTGGAGTTCCGGTACTCCAGCCTGTTGTTTAGGCCCTTCTCTTTTCTGATCTATGTTGCAGAGGATATCTTGGAACCTCCACCCTGCAGAGGACCCCCTGGAAACTGTACTCAATTCTGCACCTTGCAGGAAGATTGCCCAAAAGGATTTCAGTGCTGTTCTGCCTTCTGTGGGACAATCTGTACATTAAACAAAAAGATCAAGCAAAAAAAGTAAGGGGCTTCTCATGTTCAGTCCTCACCCTGGAACTGCTGGTAAGAGCTCAACAGAAGAGCCTCTTACCAGCAATGGATCTCTTTTTCTCTCTAACGTTCTCCTTCTCTTTACCAAGAATAATTTCCATAAATGCCATGATGAAGAGCCTTCCTCCACTTCTGAACTACAAAATTCTTCTCTCCCCAACACCACATCTGTGAATCTCTGAATCTGCCTCTCTGAACACACCCACAAACCCCTCCATCCATAGACCCTGCCCTGTCCCAGAATCCACCTTTATCCTGGGTCCTGGGCCACTATATCTGGGGCTGCAAGTGTCACCACAATCCCAAAGTGAAATTGTTCCATTTTTGTTTGCACTCTTTCACCAAACACTATCCGTTGGTTCCTAGTGTTCCTGGGTTTTGGGGATCCTCCAATGCAAGGGAAACTTTGGTTAATCACTACAGGGGAGGGGAGTGGCACTGGCCCCAAGTCTGTGGACTGGACCCCAAGTCTACTGACTGGAGAGCATCCCAGAGCAGACAATGGTCATTAGCAGCCATCTGGTCACATCTAGTTTCTAATCCTGTCTTGCAACTACGTCTTTGTATGACCTTGAGTAAGACAGCTCCCCATTTTTGCCTTTCTTTTTCTCATGCATAAATTGGGGAGTCTTCTTTCCAACCTTGCAAGATTGTTGTAAGGCCTACATGAGGTCCCCAGAGACCCACAAGGCAGGAGACTCAACCAGTGCACTTGTAAACTGTCTTGTTCTCTGCTGTGTTTCCTGCCCTGAGCACAATGCCTAACATATGAGACAAGGTACAGAGGATGGCGTATGGACCCAGGGCCAGATACCTGGACTCAAACGCTGGCTCTCCCACTTCTTAGCTGAGTGATCTCAGGGAAGTTAATCCACCTCTCCCAAGGTATCTGCTTTCTTATCTTTAAGACTGGAATAATAATAGTGAGGCTAAAATAGATACCCTATGCAAGCTCTACATAACAATCACTCAGCAAGTTTTAGCAATTAGGCAACCACTTCTCTTGCAAGAGACTGGCCCTTGCAATGAAACCCCACATCTTCCAAGGCTTCATTTCAGAAGCAGAAGCGTAAGTGTGACTCTGTTATCTCTGGGTTACTTGAGGTTCTGCTTTCCCTGTGGCAGAGGAACTTAGCTTCATGGTCTAGTTTTAAAGATGGAAGTCGTGGAAAATAAAAGACTGTATCCCTAAGAACAAAACTTCACCAGATAATACTTGAAAATAATTTTCTTCTGCAGACATAGACAAAGAAGCTTGAGAAAGAGAATGACACGCAACTGATGCATGTTTCCAAGGGCATTTTGTAAGTATCAGGGTTTGGCCTGGCATTCCTGGGGTGAGTTTTCTGTTTGCCTCCTCTAGCTTCTCTAGAGGCACCAATATTCTCACAAGGCTAAAATATAGCCTTTGGCATCCAGATTGCACCCCTCCTCTGTTACTCCCCCACTGGGGCTATGATCTCACCCCCTGGGTCAGGATGTGGTCCAGGGTGAATTATTAAACACAGAGTAACCCAAAGCAGTGATGCCCCAGGGGGAGCACAGGACATTCAGACCTGAGCATGTGGCAGGGAGCAGGCTCTGCCAGCATCCGGGTTGACAGTGCCCTGGGCAGGGAATGGAGCTGAGCTCGTCACACTCTGTGTAGCCTTGGTCAGCTCACTCTCTATCTCTGAGACCATCAGCTTTCTCATGTGAAAAATGAAGAGGACGCCTATGCCTCGAGTGTTGTGAGGATTCCATGAGGTCATGTGAAATGGAAGAATTTGGTCACTGCAAAGACTCTGCAAAAGTTAGAAGCTGCCAGCAAGTTACTCTTTCTGGGTTCTAGATTTTTCCTTTTTTGAGAAAGAAGATCGTCTTTATTACTTGACCAGTATTACAAGAAAGGTGAGCAAAATGGTGTCTTCTGTAACTCCACCACAAAAACAAAGCTACTTATTCATCACTTGGTGGATTTCGTTTCAGACTGTAAGGGGAAAAAATGAGGAATTTAGGGTCTTCTAACAGTCCTTCTGAAGTCACCAGAATGTCCAAATTCAAATGGTGGTATTTCCACTTAGATTCTCTTTTTATTAACCCTGTACCAAGGAGTTCAATAAATGGCTGCAAGCGGAGACCAGTGGAAGAGTGTAAGTGCGTGAACACACTTTCACCCTTGCTCAGGCCTTGGTGAGTCAGCCATGCTAACTTCCTCTGCACCTCATACATATTCATTGCTCAGGCCACACACTGGTCACCAGTGGCTACATCACCATTGTTACATAATCCAGGGCCCGTGCAGCTCATAGTAAGAGCCTAGGTGTTATATCCAGGTGAAAGGCGAACTAAAGGTGGCTGGTGTGACTACATAGCGTATCTTTGTTGCAGTTTCAGGGTTACATGGCTGTGTGTATATGAGCCTTCGTAAGCCTCATCTCAACGCATTGACCAAGGAGGCAGGGCTTCATTTTGAATGGGCAGAAAAACATTGCCATAAGCCTGAGTGTGTCGTCCGTGGAACCAGCACCCCCATCCTGTTAGCTTCTCTTAGAGTCAGCTAAGACTGTACCCTTTGATACATCTCATTAACTGTAACATCTGTTAGATCCACGTGTCAGAATATTTGCTCTCCCTGATCCTGCAGCCTGTCCTTTGCAGAGCATGCTTCCATTCAACTGACCATTACTGCTCTAGAGACCCTGGTGTTGGCTGGGAAGTTCAGGTGGGGAAGGAGATGGCAGTGCTAGTGAGGGCCTGAGAAAAATGCTGATCTTGTTCCCAGAAAGTGCAGTGTTGAGATGTCTGTGATGGCCAGGACGGAGAACAGACAGCCCATGCAGACCTTGTCACGGTCTTCCACACAATCTGGGGCTCTGAGGGGTGTTGTCAAGGGCTGCCAACTTTTTAAATGTAAACTAACGTTTTAGCCCCTTCCCCCAATTCCCCCGCGCTGTTCCCATCCCCCAATGCCCCAATTTAAAAAAAAAAATCTTGGGCCGGCCGAGTGGCGCGATGGTTAAGAACTGGCTTGGGATGCCAGAGGGCCCCGGTTCGGATCCCACATATGAGGGCCAGTGACACTGCCCTCTACAGCTAAGATGCTGAACAACAGCTCAACCTGGAGCTGGGCTGCTGTGAGTCAGCAGCGACGGCGTAGGCTGCAGCCCCTGTGGCAGTGGGTTGCCATGGGCTACCGTGTGTAGCCAGCGTGAGCGGCCAGCAGCCGCAGTGAGCGGCCGTCCAGAAGCCGGCGACTGGTCTGCCTCGCCCGGGAAGAGCGCAATGATGGTGCCAACTTGGGCCAGTGAAGCAACGTCCTCCACAATTAGACTGAAGAACAAAACAAGAGCAACTTGACTGTTTCCCTTCCCCCAATTCCCCAGCACTGTTCCCATCCCCCCAATTCCCCAATAAAAAAAAAATCTTTAAAAAAAAAATCTTTAAAAAAAAACAAAAAAAACACCATGCTTTGCACGTAGTGAGTCTACAATTCTGACTTTTCAAATGGGATGCGAAGGAGGCTGGCAAGGAGCAGGCTAACCTGACATTCGATGAATTGTTCTCACACAGAAAATCTTCACTGCATAGTCCAGAACCCCTCAGGCATCAGCTGCCCACTTCACTTTTGCCAACTGGACTCAATCTCCTTTTATACATCATTTTTCTTAAAGAGTAATTTATATTTGTTTTTGAAAACGTATAACAGGCTGAACACCAAACCAAAAAGAAGCTTGGAAATATCGGTTCCCAAGGGGTACTAGGACAGAGTGAGGGGTAAAGGGTCCTGTTTGCTCTGGGATTCAAGCCAGCTCTGCCTTTGCTGACCTGGGGATGCCGGGTGTCTCCAACTCCTCGGGGCCCCAGTCTCTTCATCTGTCCACGGAGTCAAAAAACATCTACCCTCAGGTGTGTTGTAAGATGAAATGAGATGACACAGGCAGAGCATATACATAGCCCAGTGCCTGGCAAAGGCCTAAGGAGAATGTTACTGTTATTATTCGTGTCCCCTCAAGCCTTCCTTTACCCAAAATTCTTGTTTTATAAAGGGATCAAAATGTGTATTTCACCTTAACCTCTACGTTGTTTAAAAATGTCTCTAGGTTCCATATAAATTAGCTCCCAAGGAAGACAAGCGCAGTGTCTCTGATCGTTGAAATATCTTCTAAGACCACACGAGACATAGTTATGGAAAGTACTCCATCCTGAAAGATAACGTGATTAAACCACGTGAGCAAGGACCTCCTAACTGAACAACTATCTTGATTCTTCTCCTAAACCTCCAGCAGCTGTAGACAATGCCGCTTCCTTTTGCAAATTCCATGTGAATGTTACCGACTTGGAAATTTGTGGTCACCTGGCTCACAATTCCACTTCCCCCAATCACATCCTCCCCAAATGGACTTTTCCCAAGATCGATTTATCACAATTCCACATCCTACTCCTCTCTTCTGTGACACCCCTCTAATCCGGCTCATCCTTGATGAACTCTGGCCTATCGCTCAGGAAACTCTGCAGGCTCCTTCACCACCATGAGCTGGCCAGGTGTGGTTCAAGTTGACTTTGCGAGCCAGGCCTCTCACATGATGAAGATTGGCCCATTCAGACTGCAGCTATCACTATTTTAATCATCTAAGCGCGATCTGTCCATTACTGTAGGCACTGGTCACAGGAGGCTATTTAAGTGTAAATTTATATTCATTACAATTCAATAAAATAAAATATTCCATCAAGTCCTCAGTCTCACTAGTTACATTTCAAGTGCTCAACCACCTCACCCATGGCTCATGGTTACTGTATTAAGTAGTACAGACATAGAACAAACATTTCCATCATCACAGAAAGCTCTATTGGAAAGCATTGCTTTGAGCTGTATGAAGCGGATGTCTAAATAGTAGTGGCTAATTAAAGATCATAATGTCAGAGAATTTTTAGAAGATTTTAATATTATAGAAGATGTTTTTATGTTTAGTACATTAGTATTTAGTTCCAATAATTGTAAAGAAATGAAATTCCAAGATATATACTAACTGTGAATGCATGTATTTTAACTTTTTACTCTGGGTATAATATGAGTGTAGTATTTTGAAAAGAGCCTGAGGTAGGAACAGGCCGTGAAGGCACTGGGGAAATGAAGATCTCCTATTTCATAGGCACCCACAACACAGACTTTCCATGAAGGAATTGGGGATGATACAGGAATGGGCCCATGGCTTTGGAGGATTAGGTGAGTGTTGGACTGGAGGACCCGTTGGCATCACACCAAATGAAGATCAGATCATTACTAAAAGGTATACTGATGAAATAATGATGTAGACAAAGATGTTCATCCATGTTACTTATGAATGTAAAATAGTTGAATCAACTTTGTTATGCAACATTGGAGACTTTGTAATTATGGTAGATGCATGGTGTGACACTAATGTATTTATGATAGGCCATGGGATGGGACTTTTTCCATTGTCTCATAGATTTTAGCTGAAACTTCATGGCTAAACACAATTGTCAATGAGTGCCCACTCATTCTAAAGAGAAGTATAAAATACCTGAAGAGAAAGACATTCAGAAGTGGCCAGGGTGCTCCAATGGCCATCGCTCAGCTCCGGCCATCTAAAAGAGGGTTAGAGCTTTATATAGAGAGGGCCCATGAAGATGTTTCTGAAGGGAAATCATAGAAATACGGTTCTGCCATGTCAGGTGAGGGGCTTTAAAAGAACCAACCTTTCACAGGTGAGTTGAATCTTATGCCAGAAGGAACCACTGACACTCCAGCCCCAAGCTGAGTGCAGCTGAACTGCAGAAACATGAGACACACACACACACACACACACACACACACACACACACCCGCGCCCCGCCACAACCATGCTGCTGTCCAAGCAGAGCATGAGAGTGCTTGGAAGAGATTGAGAAGTGTCCCCTGAGGTTGGGAGGCATAGAGACTATTGTCTAGACAGCGAGAAGCTATGGGAGATGTCTTCCCTTCCAGAGCCTGAAAGGGCTGAGAAGCCTGAGTCTCCTTGTGAGCCAAGAGACTATCAGAGGCGTGGCCAGGCTTGAGACATCTAGAAGGACTTCAGCAAGAAAGCTGCCAGCTGTGATCTCCTTGAGTGTGTTGCCAGGGGCAGTTATGGAAATAACTTTTTAGTTCCCATCTTCCCCCCACTTCACTACCTCTCAGCCCTCGGGGCAGGACAGGATGTGCCAGGTACCCAACCATGAAGCTCGTGAACCAAGGGGGATTTTGTGTCCCCAGAGCCTCATCCCACACTTTCCACCTTCAAAGCAACATGGTGTCCTGGAAAAAAATAATTTCATTTCATTTAATATGAAGACCTGAGCTCAAATTGGTTTATGGTTTTATTCATTTATTTATTGATATTCAACCCTGTTTCAGGAGGATTTAAGGCAGCCTACCAAGATTCATAATATATAATATGAAAAAAAATCTAGTCTTTATAAGGAAAACAGAGCAAAGGAAACACAAGGATAATAAAGTATGGTAGAACCATGAAGGAGATTAGCATAGTGAATCATGCTATGGTATTTGTCTCTCTGCCTGACTTAGCTTATTTAGCATAATACCCTCTACATCCATCATTGTTGTCATAAATGGAAAGATTTCATTCTTTTTATGGCTAAATAACGTTCCATTGTATCTGTATACCACATTCATCTACAATGGACACTTAGGTTGCTTCCAGGTCTAAAATACTACTAATAATAAATATAATAATAATAATAGGGCTGGCCGAGTGGCGCATTGGTTAAGAGCTGGCTTGGGACGCCAGCTCTGAGCAGCTGGGCCCTGGTTCGGATCCCACATGGGGCCAGTGACGCTGTGCCCTCTACAGCTAAGATGGTGAACAACAGCTCGACCTGGAGCTGGGCTGCCATAAGCTACCATGAGTGGCCGGCAGCCAGTGTGAGCTGCCAAGAACCGCAGTGAGCGGCCATCCAGAGGCCGGTGACTGATCTGCTTCACCAGGGAAGAGCGCAATGATGGTGCCAGCTTGGGCCAGTGAAGCAACGTCCTCCACAACTAGACTGAAGAACAAAACGACAGCAACTTGTCTGTTCCCCTTCCCCTGATTCCCCAGCGCTGTTTCCCTCCCCCAATTCCCCAATAAAAAAATAACAATAATAATAATAATAATAATAATAATAATAATAATAATATAGCTTTGCTGGGTAGATTAATTCTGGTTGTAGGTCCTTGCTTTTCATCACTATGGAAGCTCCCAAATAACCTGATTTTAAAATGGGCAAAGGGCCTGAATAGACATTTTTCCAAAAAGATATAAAAATGACCAACAAGTCCATGAAAAGTTGCTCAACATCACTATTAATATATAACATGAATTACATTTTTGCACACCAGGAACAAACAGAAAGAAATATAATGTTTAAAGATACCATTTACAATAATATCAAAAATATAAATGAGATTGCAAGACCTGTATGAGAAATATCATAAAGCTTTCTTGGAAGATCTTAATGAAAACCAATATAGATGGAGAACTATATACCAAAGACAATATTGTAAAAATGTCACTTTCCTCAGATTGGTCTGTAAATCCAAGGCCATTCAAATCAATATCCAAGATGGATCTTTTGAAGAACTTAACAAACTGACTCTAAAATTTATATGAAAATGCAAAATCCTAAGATAATACAAAATTCAAGTGTGTGAAAATGGTTTTGGAGGAGGAATATACAGTGGAGTGAAATAAAGAGCTCAGAAATAATCCCACATATATAAGTGAAGTTATCGTATAACTGTATAAAAGAAGAACTCATCAATAAATGGTCTGGAAACATTGAAAAAATAAAATTGGATCTTTATTCCATATCTTACCAAAAAGAGTCAACTTCAGATGGTTTAAGGGTATAAAAGTGAAAATCAAAATTTCAAAACTCTTACAAGAAAACAAACCTAAGGTGTTCTATGTTCCTAGGTAACGTAGTGTAGTGAGTTCAAATCTTGTTTCCACGACATAATAGATGTGTGACCTTGTACATATAACTTAACCTCGGACTCAGCTTCTTCATGTGTAAATGATGATAATAATTGCACCTAACCCTGGGTGAACGTGATAATTCAAGGATTTTCTCTGTGTGTGTGTGTGTGTGTGTGTATATATATATACAGAGAGTGCCAAAAAAATGTATGCACATTTTAAGAAAGGCAAAAACTGATGACAAAAGATGAATACAAGTCATGTGCATAATATTTTTGGCACCCTAGGGTACATATATATTGCTTAAAATAGTTCCGAACAGGAAGTAACTACTATAAGGGTTAGTTATTATTCTTACTATTATTGTGTTTATTACATTCTTTCTTCCTGTTGTAGAAGGTTGAAGAGAGGAAAAGAAGCAATTCTTTTTCAATTCTTTGCTCTGATGTTCTACCCTCCATGGTTAAACATACACAGAGGCTCTGGTCCTTTATTTTCTACGGTTTCTACATGAACATGGGACTCACCAGCAGGGGTCTAATTAGGTTGGGGCCTTCATCTTCATGGCTGGGTACCCAAACATTCATTGCTCAACTCAACACCTAGTAATGTCCTGTCCCGGCCCTTGGGGTAAGTAGGCTCAGCCCTCTCAAGTATGAAGCCCAAAATATAACACCAGAAGACTCTCCTACCTGTCGCTTGCTGCACCATGAAGCCTGCTGAGCTGGGATTTCCACTAGGGCTCTTCATCTTCTTCTTGCTGACGACCCCATTAATGGGTGGTGTTTCTAAAATTGCTGAGTGGCTGTGTGGAGAATTCAAAGGTATGAACTTAAAGCAGAGAATAAATTCAAAGACCAATTGTGAATGAGGGAGAAAGTGATGGAAAAAGAAAAATGTGATATCCAGGTGGTCCAGGAAGTTCCTCCTTTTGTGTCAAAACCCACAGACTCTTAGTCCCTCAAATTGGGGCATAACTTACTCTAGAGGTCTTGAGATGTCTGATGAGAAAAAACAAACTAGGGCACACATAAGTCCTTTCCAGAAGAGGCTCTCTTTTGTAGGGGTTCCAAAGACTAGAAGTATTTTGAATTAAGGGTGTCATGGCACATTTCAAAGATTCTAGAACAATCAAGAGTATGTATCGAGATGAGAGAAAAAGGGGACTAGAACTGAATAAATTGAGGCATTTTCACTATCTGAGCTCTGGGCACATAGAGAACATTTGAACACATGATCCCTGTTTAAAGGAGCCCACTATGTAGATGTGAAGGGTGCTGAAGCTTTCATCTGCAAATAACGTGTATGAGCTCAGTGCTTCCAGAGCATGGGGAGGTGACACAGTCTACACTTGTGAGTCAGACACCCCAATTCTGGCCCTGCCACTTAGCGAAGGTGTGCCCTTGGTCAAACCACTCAATCACTCTTCTTAGCCTCAGTTTCCCCTATGTAAAATATAGATCAGAAAAAAATGCCTGCTGCAGAGGGTGTTTGTATAAAGTAAGATTATGCATGTAACTGTACCTAAATAACTACTTTTACCAGGCAGTGAATTCCAGACTGGCTACTTGAGTAGGATAAATAACAATCTCCAAGTTGGCAGTACAACTCTGTTGTGGCTGTTTTAGTCATTTGCTGCATGACTGTTATCCATAAAAACAGAAGGTATGCCTCTGAGAAGGCAATAGGGGGAAAGATGACAGGATATGAAAGCAAAAAAAATATTACCCCCAAGGTTATGCATCTTGATATGTATCCTTCTAGGACAGCAGCAGGCACAGTTCCCTGAAATTTGGGGTGTAGATAGTATAATGAGTATATGAAAACTGGAGCATGAGCATTCTGAATTGTACGTCCCACGTGGGCAGTTAAGAGGAGAGAAAGGTGAAGGGATGGAGAAGCAGGAGACTGTGCTTTAATAAAACATAAGATGTGAAATGGAAACTTCATTACTTTGCACCAGCTATTGGTAGAACCTCCTTTTTCATGGCTCACTATTTCTCCAAGTCACTGCAAGAACCTGGAGCTGTAATCAATTCACATGCCCAAGGGCAACCTTGCTCAGTAATCTTAATTCCAAGAGCAAACCAGCTGTCCTTCAGTGATTTTGAATATGGGGATATTTCCAGACTAACATGGGGTATTGTTAAGGGCTCATGAAAACAAAACCTCCTCCTGAGTCCTAATTAATTCTCCTTAACTCTATGGGCCCCCCCCCCCCGCCCCCTGCCCCATAGATCCCTGCAAGATGGAAATGAATCCTGGCAGCTGCTACGAAGTCCATTTTCGATATTTCTACAACAGAACTTCCAAAAGATGTGAACATTTTGTCTTCTCTGGCTGTGATGGCAATCTTAACAACTACAAGCTTAAGATAGAATGTCAAATAGCCTGTGTGGCAGAATACAAGAAAGCGTTGTAAGGAATCCAGTCTTGTCCTTGGTCCTTGGGGAGAGGGGAAGGAGAGGCTCTGGGACCCCAAGATAAAACCTGATTTGGGAATGGGAAGAGGGTGGATTGTCTTAATCAAAAGGCTTACCAGTTGGGTGTGGGTTGTCTTAATCAAAAGGCTTACCAGTTGGGTTAAATCTCAACATCATTTGTCATTTTCCAGTTAAAAAATCAAAAGTCCACCATTTATTGGATAATCACCATGTGCCAGGCACTATACTAAGCAATGTACATATATTGGTATAATTGAACATTAAAATCACCCTAAGGTAGATGTGTATTATTATTTCCATGGGGCAGACAAGGAAACCAAGCCCAGCTGAAGTAACTAACTGGGCCAAGGTCACATTATGAAATGGCATAGAGAGGTTTCTAACCAGATCTGATGTTCACCCAGGACTCAACCTGGTATACAAGCACAAGGTCACCCAAACCCAATCACTGTACTCTCAGACCCGTGAACTCTGTGTAGCAATATGTTATTTTATACAACTAAGCTAGTGCCCAGCTCCACACTTGACCGTTCCCCAGTCGTAGCAGAACGTCCATGGAGACCAAGAGGGCTATAGGATGGCTGATTCTCAGGACCGTGAAATAGAGGGTGGCCTTAGCAGTAACTCAAAAGTAGAAATTTTGTTTTATTAATTTAATATTTCTAGTAAATATTTGCAGTGCCTGGCACATCATAGGCAATGACTAAGTTTTAAAGGAATGAAAGAATGAGAGATTAATCGAAGGAACAGGAGGGACATTGAAAGAGATGGCAAAAAAAAAAAAAAAAGAAAGAGATGGCATCCACTGGGTTTCCCCTGAGATAAAGATGGCTTAAATTAATCCATGGAGACTTTCCATAACTTATTAACACAGATCTGTTATGTTTTGTGTTGGATTTTTATTTTACTTAAACAGATCCCATTGAAAGCCTAAAAGAAGTGCTCGAAGTACTTGACACACCATCTGAGTACAGATGTAAGAAAATTCTAACAAATTTTATGATCTTTGTAATATTTCCGTAGTCCTTGAAACTCCATGTGTTTGCTATTTTCCTGACTTTAGTTTTGTCTTTTCTGAGAAATCATTGTATGACCATTAAAATGAAAGAACCTTTGCATCAGCCCTCTCTCTCTCTGAATATCTCTCCCCCTGCCTATCCTGAGTTGGAATATCAGCTGATCCTGTCCTTTAGCTCCCCTCTCCCTCCCAAATCATTCTTCATACATGCACACAATATTTATACTTTCAGATGTGACAAGCAAATCTGTATAGGTTTGTATCATCTCCTCTCTCAGGTTGAGCTAATTAGTAGACCCAAAGTACCAAATCTATGCTTCTGCTTTTCCTTAAAATCAAACTGAGTAGCAAACCTCACACATATGAAATGTCCTTGCTCTAATGACAAACTTTTCTTTGTGATGTTTCCGGATTCATGTCCAGCAAGCCAGGAGCCCCAATTAGTTTAACTCTCCCCCTGACTGGATCCAAATTTTTGAATAGTTACATATGAACATTTTTTAGTACTTCAGTCATTGAAAATTGGACTTGGCTATTCTCAGTGGTTCTGAAAAAAGAACTCAAAATGTCAGTCCAGGGACTGTGTTTTAGCTACCAAGTGAATGTTCATCTAAATGCTGTTTGTCTGGGCCGGCCGAGTGGCGCGATGGTTTAGAACTGGCTTGGGACACCAGAGGGCCCCGGTTCGGATCCCACATATGAGGGCCAGTGACACTGCCCTCTACAGCTAAGATGCTGAACAACAGCTCAACCTGGAGCTGGGCTGCCGTGAGTCGCTGGCGACGGCGGAGGCTGCAGCCCCTGTGGCAGTGGGTTGCCATGGGCTGCCGTGTGCAGCCAGCAGCCAGCGTGAGCGGCCAGCAGCCGCAGTGAGCGGCCGTCCAGAAGCCGGCGACTGATCTGCCTCGCCCGGGAAGAGCGCAATGATGGTGCCAACTTGCGCCAGTGAAGCAACGTCCTCCACAACTAGACTGAAGAACAAAAACGACAGCAACTTGTCTGTTCCCCTTCCCCCAATTCCCCAGCACTGTTCCCATCCCCCCAATTCTCCAATAAAAATCTTAAAAAAAATAAAATAAAAATAAAAAAAAATAAATGCTGTTTGTCAACTTTTCTGAATAGGCTTCAAGGTTCAGCATGGCCATGATCTTCCCAGCTATAGGCTAATGTGCTGGATCATTGCATCTCTGAATTTTTTCAGGCATCCCTTCCCTGTATCCCTTCTCTGTCCATCTTACTGACAAAGTTCAATCACTCACTTGTGAATTGCTGGTGGTTAGGGCCATCATCAGAGGCATCGTAAACCAGTGAGATTCTGTAACTAGACCTGCAAGCCTGGTCTCTGCTCAGTCTTAAGAATAAAAAAGCCAATCCCCTAAATTAAGACAATTTTCTGCAAAATTCTGATTACTTCAAGATCAGACTGTCATCAAGACAGAGCTTACTCTGAACAAGGAAAGCCCTAATTCTGGCATATTTCAACTTTGATGATGACCCTAGAATGACAAATCATTCTTGAATTCAATCAGCTGCAGGAGACATGCTGTGGACTCTGAAATAAAAGACTAGGTTAATCTGACGAGGCCACATAAATGAAAACTCTGAGATTTTCCTGTTGTGAGTCATGAAACTAGTGTCCCAGGAGTGGAGATTCTTTCAGGGACAAACTAACATATTCCCATAGCCTGTTTGCTTCGTCTTCTAGCCAACTCCCAGGAAAGCCAGAGAAGTAAAAAATAAAATAAAAGTATTCATATGAATAACTAAAGTCAAAAGTAAGGATCCTTTGGAAGGAAGGCTATTGTATCCTGGTGAGAAAAGGAAACCGATGCCCAAGACTGAGAGCTGAGCATCGAAGTTGGGAGAATGTGTTGGGTGAGAGCCTTTGAGTTGTGTTATCCTCCCCACCACAAAAATCTGAGTCTGTCATTGTCTATTCCATTGCCAAAGAACTAACAGCCACAAGATACCAGAAGGGTGACTGAGATAATATAGTGGTGGTTCCAGAGCCCAACTAGGGTAAGAAGTACATAAAAACAAGTGCAACTGGACTAGCCAGACACAGAGTTTATTGTTTTCTTTCTTCCTATACACTCTGAGGTATAGATGACTAAACCTGAGAGAAAAAAAATTGCCATAGAAAACACATCTAAGGCAGAAGTATAGATATGTTCCCTGAGCAGAGGGGAAGAAAGGGGAATAGTAGTATTTCGGAAGTCACATATGGGTGTAAATAAGCCCAAACTCTATCATTGTGGAGTCTCTGACTGGAATTTTCCACCACCCACTTTAAATCAACCAAGAGAAGTGCAGGTGAAGAGATTTGGGCTTTGACTCTTCTTCCCGCACTGTCTCCTCCCACCCCCATGCATCCACAACACACATAATAAAAGCAAAAATAGCTCATATCCCCAGGGACAAGTGATCACAAACAAAATTTACCACAAACATATCAACAAAGAGAAACAACAGGCAAAATAACCAATATGAAATAACCCGGAACTAATTGAAGAGATAAATGAATTAGGCATAATAATGAATATTCTCAACTAGTTAAGAGTGGGTATTGGTATTTTAAAATGGGAACGTATGTTGACAAAGAAGAACCAATAAAAAATAGTGTTTGGAAAATATAATAGGTGACCTAAAAGCCACAATAACTGAGATAAATATAAAGGATAAAGCCAAAGTATGAATTAGTGATGGTAGAAGATTAACTAGGTTGAGGAGCTCTCAGAAAAGAAAAAAAAAAGAAAGAAACTTTAAAATACAAAAATTAAGGTAGAGGGAGATGGTAAAGTAGGAAGCACCAGAAAACTGTCTAGACAATAATGGCAGAATCTATCTGATGTAACTATTTTAGAACTCTGGAGTCCACTGAAGGCTTGCAACTTCCAGGAGAAGACGTGGACAGTGATTGCAGTTAATTTTGGTCAATTTCAGCTCTTAGTGTAGTAGCAGCTACACATTCCCCACCCCCAGCCACAGGGTAAGCAGCTGTGCACATGTTCCTGGAGCAGCTTTAAACACAGATTGCGGCATCCAGGGAAGGCAAAAACGATTCTATCCTCCAAATATCAGGGATCTACACTCTGATCACCGATTGCTGCTTCTGATCACAGAATGCACACAGAGAAGCAACACCCCTTATTGTTGCAAGCCCCTCCTTCTCAGGCTAAAGTAACTTCCAGTGATTTAAAAGACCAGTGCCCTTCATATTTCTCTTTTTCTCCTTTTTGGAGCCAGATGTTAAAGACTGGGACATTCAAAAACAACTGCATATACGGGGGGAATTAGAAAGTGACCATGCTTGCCCAGGAAAAGGCTCAGAAAAGATGTGAGACCTTAAGTTTACATTTCAGGTTGATCCTCAGCACAAAAACAGCCATAGCAATAAAAAAATAAAACAAAAGAAAAATAATGGTCCAGCCGAGTGGCTCAGTTGGTTAAGAGTTAGCTTAAGAGCGCAAGCTCTAAGCAACAGGGCCACTGGTTCGATTCCCACATGGACCAGTGATGCTGCGACCAAGCTGAGCTGCTGCTGAGCTGCCAACAGGTGGCAGGATGGCTCAACTAGTGAGAGCACATGCTCCTAATAACAAGACTGCCTGTTCGAAGGTGGGCTATGCCCGCCCACAACTAAGACTGAACTCAGCACCTTGAGCTGAGCTGCAGCCCTGATGGCTCAGTGGCTAGAGCATATGCTCTTAACAAAGCTGCCGGTTCAACTCCCGCATTGGATGGTGGCTACGCCCACCCAAAACTAAGATTGTAACACAGCACCTTGAGCTTAGAGGCCACGAGCTGCCGACAGGCAGCCAGATGGCAACTGGTGCCCTCCACAACGAAGATTGAAGAACAACAACTTGGCTGGTCCCCTTCCCCAATTCCCCAACACTGTTCCCCTCCCCCAATTCCCCAATTAAAATTTTTTTTAATTTAAAAATAAAAGCAATGATA